TGATATCCACTCACTTAGAGACTCAATACAACCCCATGTGTGTGTGACTCCTGGAAGCGGTTTAGCCTTCCCAAGTCCGAAGTCCTGGAAGAAACGAAGAACTCGCACCATGTCTCATCGGTGGCCGCTCTAGCAGAGTTCTGCAAAGGCGGCGGCGGCGAAAAGGCTCAGACGACTGAGATGACACTAGTGAACAGACGACTCAGACACTGAGGATTCCATCAGCTGGTGCTCGCTGCTCAGCTCTTGCGAGAAGGCGCAGCGCTGGTCTCCAGCGCTGTCCGCGCTGCGCTTCTTCCGGCGCTTGGAACCGCTCTCCGGCGGAAGGTCTTTGGCGGATCTCCTGGGCTTCAACGCGGTGATCAGCTGCTACGCCGCTGGGCGCGCCTGGTGTGGGCGGAATCGGGAGGGGTGGAGTGGACCAGGACGAGCATCCATGGGACTGGAAGATTTGGCAACCCCAGAGAACATGGGTGTTCAGGTTCTGCGGAAAAATCTGGTTGAAACGGCCATGAAGAGAAGCTGTTTCCGGCTGTGTCCCTTCTTCATCTTCTGTCCATTCGACAGGAGCGAGGCCTTTTAAATCTCCTCGAGCTGGGTCCATCCTCGATGTGGTATAGTTCTTTGCCCCCAAATACTCCGAGTATTATTTGCCTGCACTGCACTGACCCCTGAAATCCACCACTCTCAGCGCGTGGAGAGATCATCCCAGACCATCCCATGGTACTGGTTGGGAGTTATACCTGCATAAATGGATCAGGGATGATCATGGTCTCATGCTGTATATGATTGTATATCTCTACATACTCATTTTACTAGAGTTGGTTACACTATTCAAGCACGCAAACGACCTGGTTTTGCTGGGTCAGACTGGACTTGTAAGGTATGTATGTTGACTCCATTCGTCTCATGTGCTCACACCGGGGAAGTCTCAAGTCTGATCCAGTCGCTTCGGTCCGTGGTGGCAAGAAGGAGAAGGTTGGAAGGTGGCAAGAAGCCTTTGGCTTTTTGGATTTGATACCACGAAGTGAACTTCAACCAGATATCATTACTCTGAGTGCTCTCATCTCTTCCTGTGAACCACGTGGAGAATGGCAGCAGGCCTTGGGTTTGCTCACTGAGATGGTGGATCGATGGGAGATCCAACCAAGTAACTTGTCGACGAATGGTTTGCCCAAAACGAACCACTAGACTTTGTGCAGACGCGTTTTAAAGACTGTGAGGTCCTTTGTTCAGAGGCTAAAGACTGTTCTTTTGTTGGTTCGAGGCTGCAAGACAGTATTGTCTTGGTCTTGGCGAGCCATGGTGTGAGTCAGTGAGGTCGTGTGTCATTCATTGGTGTGCTCAAACTGTGTTCATTCACTTTGAACATATGTGTTTACAAAATATTATACAACAAAAATCCTCTCAATTTATAACATTTATACAACCACACTTAGAACTTAGGACATGAAATGAGTGCGAGTATGCCCTGCTTTTGCACGCTATTTGTTTCAGCAGAGCGGCTGCCCTGCTTAGGTCAAAATGGAGGTATGAAAACACGGGTAGCAAATGTAATGAAGACAATGGTTAATCAATCATGCCAATAATAATCTAACGTAATACTACTATAGTCACTCAAGTAGTCAGTCACAATAATCAGTCATAAACATCATCTAACATAACCAATCAAACGTGGTTTGGGTTGTTGAAGCTTCTCATTTGCGGTCAATATCATCCACATGATCCTGGCCGGAAGCGCTGCCACTGGAAGCGCCAGGGACTTGAGAGCTATAGGGAGGACATTGACATATGATGACATATGTATCTGTATATATATATATACCAGGGCCTTCCAACAGGTGGTTTTTGGACACCCCATTAACCTCTAACAGGCCAGGAAGGTCCTGGTATAATCCAAGAATTGCGCTTTCTTATCAAAAATGAGGTCAAATGGGTTCTAGGTATGTTCTAGGTATTAATAGAGTTTGTGTAGTAGTTATAGTGGGTCTTTCTGTGGTTGTTCATCCTTTCCTTCGGGACACTCCAGAACAAAACAAAGGTAGCTCAAACCCGTGGAGTGTTTGTTTTCGTTTTTTTAGCAGTCACGCGGCGGTAGCCAAGGTGATGTGAGCGTGAATGCTGCCATGACGACATTGAGGACTGAAGAAGCACCATGGCCATGCGCTCTAGAGCTGTTCCACTCGATGCACTCGATGCACCAGCTCCGGCGGGATGTGATCAGTTGGAATGCACTGCTCACATCGTTCTTGACCAGTCAACAGTGGGAGGACGTGCTGAATCTCTTTGATGAGATGCTGAATGCCGACGGCGTGGTGCCCAATGCTGTCAGCTTCCGTCTCATCGCCCGCGCTGCGACCCTGGGCGCGACGAAGCCGGCGGGTCCCGGAGCGGACGGGACGCCAGACCAGTCGGGCTCGGGCGAGTTCTCGGCCGCTGCGCAGAGACGTTTGGAGCTCTTGGAGGACTTGAAGTCTCGAATTAAGGCCATGGAAGACTTGCCACATCAGCCACCAGTCTGACTGGCCAAGGAGGGACCGGGCCCGCTGAGTAGGGACCGGCCAAGGAGTTGTTTTCCTGTGCTCGAGCCGGCAGTGCAGGCCCTTTGTGAGCGTGAGCTTGGCAAAAATCAGTCACCCAAATGGGGAGGAACGCATGTGATCCCCATGGTTTCCCTTGAGTCACTGGGTTTGTTCGATTTGTGTCGGAAAGCACTGGAGCAGAACACGGAGGTCACATGTTTGAGTGCCATGGGAATGAAGGATGAACCCGTCATACTGACGAAGACATATCAGAGAGATTGAGGATCCACGATAGCCCAGAAGTATCCTATCTTTTGCTAGCGCTCGGATATTTTCTAAGGCCAGGTGCTGGACAAAAAAGTAAAATTTTGAAGCTGTCACACGATGGTGGATGGTACTGCATCCAATCATTGATCTTTGCAGAGCATCCATGTATGGAATACTGACATACATTGACATACATAATCATACACAAATCATCAAATACTATACCCCAATGTTATAGCTAACTATTCCAGTCTCAGTGTTTGGGCTCCATCACCAAAGGTGAAAAACAGCTCACGCTGATCGTTTTCTTCTGAGTTCCCCCCCAAAAAACCGCGGCACGGGACGGCCATGGAGAATTCCACCGTCACTCAAAGGCGGGTGCCTTCAGGCGGTCACGGGAGTGGCCGCCCCTGAAAACCCTGAGTTCGCCCGTCTCTCCAACCAACCAATTTGAGTCTCGCACACCTCGTCACGGGCAATTCGAGTTTCGCCAGGAACGCTCCAGGGGAGCCGCCGATCGTGCGGCCTGGACGGCAAGGGGTGGGACCTGCCCCCAGAAACTGAATCCCAGAGAAGCTTCAGGGTAATCCGCTCATCGCAGATGGCCCGGAATCTGAGGGCCTCCTTTGACTGCAACAATTCTTGTACTGGGTGACCAATAAGTGACCTTGCCGTTAGTAAATGTAAGCGGTATTCATTATAGCAATTGCAAATGGAAAGGACAGCAAGGGACTATATAAGTGATATTTTTGGCCGAACATTGACTGTACCGTTGGTGCTGGTTCGGGTAGTATCTCGATACCGCAGCAGTACAGATGGCGCTTCCCAGTTTGCCTAAACCACAACATCGGGCCACCGGTCAATGTCTCAGCTCAGAAACTAATGCACTGTTGCTGTGGCTTGGGTTGCTCTAACTGGTGCTTCGGGTCGTCAGACTGTCGCAATTTCTTGCATTCCAAACCCATGGCCCCCCCAAAAGAATAGAAAATGGTCTCCTACCATCATTCGGACGGCTTGAATCACTGGAATCCAGAATCCCCCACCAGTCGCACCAGTCACCCATCGCCCCTCTTCGAACAGCCTCGAAGCCCAGGCGAAGCTGGCGGCACTGGGTGCGCGGATCGATCAGCGGCAGCCCTAGCGGTCGACCGGAAGGGCAGATGAGAAGGGCATGCCACCCGCGGATGCTGTCTCTCCCGGATCTGGCATTTTTGGGGATGGACATAGTATGGGGAGGTCCTATTCCTGGTAATATCTTGCTATGACGGTGTGTTCAATTCAATATCAAAGGGAGTCCTAAGGTTCAGGTGAAATGTGGCTGTGAAATGGTGTGATGTAGACTCTTGAGGACCATAAAACCCCCCATGTGAAGAGGACTTCCAATTCAAATGAAATGGAAGGGTTTATGAATCAAGAGTCTACATTAGTTGACCGACCCCCTTCGATCAGATGGGCTCCGATCGACATGGTCGAGTCGGCAACATCTGCAGCCTGTTTTGATCGTCGAAGAGAGATACATTGGCAGATCTCGGCACTTAGATGTCCAAATAGACATTAAAAGTTGATCTCCACTAAACGGACTATTGGAAACCGTTTCTATATATTATAGTAAGGAGCACTATACGACTATACTATGTACCCAGGTGCCTTTGCCTCAACGTTTCTGTGGGTGGTCATACCCTGTCGGTACCCTGCGGTGAGTTGACTAATGCCCGATCTTGATTGATAACCTCCCTGTTTGGATTGAACAATCTCTTCATATATGAGGGGGTTTATTTATGAATCAAGATCGTACACATGAATTACACGAGTTTCAGTGGTCACAGGACCACAGGCCACAGCACTGTTTCACCATGACTCATCTCTAGATGGTGGGCACGTCTGCCGATCGGAGACGACGGTTGGGAAACGGCGTGATGGGTCGTGAGGGAACTTGGACTGCCGTGGCATACTCCCCCTGCAGATGAACACGGAACATCATGGAACCCAGAACCCACTGGGTTGGTATTCAGCAAAGGGTCTTCCACCACGCGTCTTTCATTTGCGGGAGGTTTTTTCTTGGTGCCGGTGGAAGTGTTGGCAGAAGCGAGCAACGGCACCCAGGCTAGAGCGCACTCGCCAGACAGGACCTAGGCTTTTTGAGGAGAGGGGGGAGATGGAGCCAAGGAAGACCAGCTCCCCGACCGTCCATGGGAATAGTTACTTAGATGTCTTACATTGACCCCCATCAACATGACCCAACCATTTGTAGGGATCCAGTCGTACCTAGCTTCTCAGAAGGTGTTTGGAGGGTCGTACCGAACCTGAGGAGGTACCACTGGATCCCTAGGTATAACTATTCCAGTCCCAGACAGTTCGCATTTGGGGATGTGAGCAGATGACCCAGCCGTGTCGCAGTGCGGATGAGATGCTGATGGTCCACGTGTCCAGACACTCGCTCCATGGTCCACGTCACGTATGGAATATTTACGTACATTGGAGTGGTCAATGGACAGCCTAGCAGCCTGTAGCAGCCTGCAAGTCATCACGCTTCGATGGTATTTTATCACGTCACCACACATCCCTCGAGCGCACATAGCGTACCCCCAGACACTCCATTTAAATGGAAGATGTGCCGTGAACCCCCAGACACGCCACACCAACTCACTTCTGCAAACGTCGAGTGTTTGGGTGTCATCTAGGGCCTCACCTTCGTATGTGTATGGGTCATGAAACGTGGATTCCACAGTGGAGCAGTTGATGGGAAACTCATCTAGCAAAATCGGGTTTGTCCAAACAGTCGTTCTTATACCATGACACTCCATGGGACTGGCATATGCACCTAAATTGGGACGGTTGACCTGGGGTCAACGTAGGCATATATTGTATGTATATAATATATATATATATATATCACTCCCATGGAGTGTGTGGGAATGTGTGGGATATAGTTTGGAAGACCATGGAACACCATTGAAGCAAAGAAGTGATACCGGTGAAGCGGAGTTTGTGTCCTCCGCTCTGAAGTCCAGCCATCACTCTGGCACATGTTGTTCTCTTCCCAGGTCGCCGAGGGTGGTACTGGACTGATTTTCCCATCGGAGACTCCCAGATCATCCATGTATATGGAATAAGTATTGAAGAGCTACTCCACCATGGATGGGGTCCTTTTCATGGGGATAAACATCATTTAACAAAAAAAAGATACTCTTCGCCATCCTGGGATGGTCTGGCGTACCAAACCCAAAAACTCCATGGGACTGGCATTTCGACCACTTGGGGTGGTTGAAAAGACACAATCCTGGGACTGGCATACCTGGTTTTGCTCATGGTTTTCTTTTTTCCCGAACTGGTGAAATCCCCTAACCTGGAGAATCTTCGATATTCTTCCAGGTTCCTGGACAGCAATGGAACTGGCATATCTTCCAGTGAACAATGGGTCCACCTTCCAAGGGGATCGCTGTCGTTTGGTTCTCCTCGGATTCCGGCGCGGCGCTGCTTCCCACAGCTGCTGCGTTTCGGCTGCTGTTCCCGCTGCGTCACGGCTGCATCGTTCGTCAGGAGAACCAGACTCTTTACACCGAGTTGGAGGCACCGAACCTCTTTGCACGTGGTGTCAATTGTCTTCCGCTTTCGGAGAATCGTGTCGGTAGAAACATCAGCGGTGTCCATGGTTTTGGCGCGTGAAAGAGCTCGACGAATTCGGACTGGAAGAGTCCAAACAAGTGTTGAATGGATTTGACCTCATGAAAACCACCCATCCGTGGCAAAAGCAGTCCCAGACAGGGCCTCGATCTTGGGGGGGCCACTATATTATTGGACGCCCGTCTGCTGTGCAGTAGCGCAAGTGACAGGGATTGAGTGTCACATGTCAAAGCATCGTGAGTCACAGAGGTGATGACACTTGATACTAAGTACACTCCCCTCCCTTCAACCTTTTTCGACCTATATAACTACAATATATGCACTCCTTTCAAATGAATTTGCGAGATGGTGTGAGTGTGGGCCGAACATCTTGAAACAGGTTGTCTGACAGATGCAAGCAGTACATCAACCGTAAACACGTGTCAAAACCGAAGAAGAAGAAGAAGAAGACCTTGGTAGGTGGCTGCAGGTCCCTGGTGGGTCGTTCCAGTTCAACCAGTCCTTCCGATCGAGGCGCAGTCCCAGCAGATTGATATCCTCCGACAGCAGGCGGAGCGGCGGAGCTGACTCGTCGTCAAGGATCTGACTCGTGGCAGACCTGGCACTCCATGGGACTTGGCACATTGATTTCCTATAGGAGTAGATAAAATCTCGGGAAATCCCATCATATACAGCGTGGATCATTTATGATACTTTGATTCTATCTACTTCAGTGGTCCAGGATGGTTGTATATTCCTAGATCGAGGTGGCTGAAACGGGGTTCATGTAGTGATATATATCATTATATATCCCATATACTTAAAAGTGTTTGGCATCGTTTGATGTGTGGTTTCTGAAATCGACATTTGCTGACGACGGCTGTCCTGGACATTTAGAAAGTTGGTGAGAAGCAGTACAATGGTGCTTTGAAAGCCTAAGTTGGGAGAGAGGACCATTGGGTCCTTTGGGTCACCACGGGAACGCTTCTCCCAACCGACAAGGGACGGCATGCTCGAAAAAGGGGATCGCCCGTGGTGTAGTGGGATGGGTCAGCCTGGGAGTGGAATCGACAACAGCTTCCGCGGGATGGGTCGCTGTCTCTGAAAACACCAACAGACCCTGTTCAGAT